TAATGTAACGTTTACGTTTGTTGTTCGGTCTATTCAGCTTTTGTAAATCACTTCTATACAACGTAACTTTTTGTATTTTGCTGCATGACTAAATAAAGGGAGAGATTTTTAGTCGATATTGTGAAGTAATAACACTAAAATTTGACTTTTTGCGGCAAAAAAAAAACATGTTTTGCACGGGAATAAGGTATTTTTTTCATAAGCGGAAAGAACTGGACAAATATTGGTGTTATGTCTCCACCTATTGGTTTGCTAAAATGATAAAGGAGGTTAACGCATCTTAACATCCCTTGCTATTGTTCCATATTACTGGGTGTTTCATTAAATAAATAGGCCTAAATAAATAAGTATTTAACGTTCAATAACCTATTTCAATCGCAGTTGAATATTAACACGTGTACGAAAAATACTGTATCTTTTGTGAACGTGTCTAAGTCTGAAATTTAACTAGAGCTGAACGCCAAAGCGCACAGCCTATGGCACAGAGCTTTTTTGAAAAACTAAGAATCCATGCTCACTTTTATATGTGTGTGTGCTGCTTCACAGTAGGACCTTGTGGACATCCACGATCGGCTCATTGTCCGTGATGTGAAGGACAAACACGTGCGTGAAATTTACACAAAAAATCACTGTGTGGATGTAAGCTTAAATGTGTCAGGTATATTCAATTTCAGTGTTCTTTTTATTTTATTTTCAAAATCAGAAGATTATGATTTACTCCAGGATTTCTACCTACCAGTAAGACAAACTGATTACTGGTTTATCTGATTATTACTGATTATGGTTTACTGGTTACTACTGGTTTATCATCTGTGTCATTCATGAATCTGTTGTTTTGTGTTATTGTGTGTTATGTTCTCAGTAATGATCTTATTTTTAAATCGTGGATTACTATATCACGTTTGCTGTTCAAACGTGCACAACCTTCTTCTTAGTTTGTTTAAAGCTATTTCATGGGTGACCTGACTTGGACGCAAGAAGACCGCTTTGACAGCAAAGTGGTTTCACATGGCGTGAATGGTCATATAGTTTTACTTCCTTTCTTCCAGGAGATGGTGCCGTTACTCTGCTGACGTTGATCTACGGTCCATAAATTGATAAACTGGCATATAGCTTATTCTATATCAAGCTGCACCTTTCTTAAAATGGAAAGTCCGGTGACACTTTAAACCAAGTCAAGATGCCGTTTCACAATAGCAGCCAGTGTGTTTTCAAATTAGCATATGGTTATTCTCATTCTTTCATTTGCTTCGTAATTATTGTTGCGGTGTTATTATTACGTATATATGTGGTCAGATGTTTATATCCTTCCGTATCTATAATTATATGAGCTTAATAGAGGGCAAATTGTCATCACACCTCCAAGAATCTGCATTATTGCACCACAGAGAGCCACAGTCACCCAAACTGCCATTTACATGCATGTCAATAAAACAATTCGCTATGGTTCCTTCACCTTTTCTCGTCTGCGGCTCAGCGCCGCTGGATTCCTGTGGAAAGGCTGTGAGGCTCATGTTTTTGTTGTCGTAAAGTGTGTTGAGCGTGAAAGCTTCTTTCTGAGCACTTGAGCGGCGATATGTGAGGTGGGAAGGTGGGGAGGGCCCTCGGGGTGAGCACACCCCTACTTGCCTGTGTCAGAGTATTTCAGAACAGAGGCCAGTATTTAGAGACTCTTCATGAAAGCTGTACATATGACTTTTTGCTGAAGTTCCACTTTAACTTTTGGGGCTGTTGGAGGACTTTTTCCACCCTGTTTCCCACGGATCCGCAGAGCAAGATTATAAGCGACTTTTTCGTCTTCTAGAAACTGTGCGCCGTGACCACAGGATACTTTGACGCACAGTTGCTACACCCTCAAAGAAGGACAATGCCTCGATCTTTCTTGGTCAAGAAATACTTTGCTAAGCAAAAGCCAAACTACAGTGAACTGGAATGCCAGAACGGTGAGTTACGAAGTTGTTTATCCTTTCAATGAATTATGAAAGCATCCTTACATAAGCGTCGCAAATGAGGCATGTAACTGTCCCTTTTTCTAACTGTAGAAGTAAAGTTCAAGTCGAATGTAAGAACATTTTCTAAATGTGTTGTAAGTCTGGTCCGACTACAAACCAGTCTATTCCCCGTTCAAGTTGGGACCCGTTAGATGCACTTTACCCCCCTTCCTGCACCCAGACAGAGCTCCATTCATGTTACAAGCCCTTGTGAATACGTGGGAGGAAGCGGCCACAGAGCCTTCCCATGGCTCTAACTTTATACTCAGTAAATCATGGGGAAAAGAAAAAAACAAGAAGAACGCAGAACCTAAATCAGTCAAGAAGAGAATTCATGCAGTCCATGAGAATAGATAAAATTGTTTTCAGAGAATGGCTTTACTTTTAGATTTCAATAATGCATTTACAAGCTTAATATTTAACTTTTGTAAGCTTTCTAACACTGGCTGTGAAATCATCCTCTTTCCTTAACAGACACTTATTTGGAGAATTATACTCTTGCTGATCTCTCATCAGTCAACACCACTGCCACCTGCTTCACCACAGGTTTGGTGTGGGATCTGAGTGTTCTCCCCACCCTTTACCTACCAGCCTCCCAAACAGAGCCCTCTGCCAACACAGGGCCCCTGGACCTCAGCTCCCCATCCAGCCTCAGCAGCAATGCCAGCAGCAGTGGAGAGGAAGATGAGGGGCGCACCTCGGACCCCCCTAGTCCTGAACCCGTGCACACGTATGGCCCTCGCCAGCGGATGAAATGCACAGGAGTCATGGCTCATATCAGTCCCCCAGAGGAGGAAGAAGAGAGAGAGACCCCTGCCACAGCTGCCAGGCCAGCTTTCCTCTGCAAGCACTGCCCCAAAGAGTACACCAGCTTGGGGGCTCTAAAGATGCATATCCGCTCACACACTTTGCCCTGCGTTTGCACCACCTGCGGGAAGGCTTTCTCCAGGCCGTGGCTGCTGCGCGGTCACATCCGCACACATACAGGTAAGACCCATTTTCACACGTATTGTGCAACACTGTATGGTATCTGGCAACTCTCCAATGGATTGTTGACACATGAATGAAGAAATCGGTGTTACTGAAAATTTGTAGCTCTGCGTATGAGTTGACATCATTGTTAGTCAGCAGCAGGTCACTCCCTTATCATTCAGACTGTGTATGAGGCAGCAGGATATCCATGACAATCAATGTGATGAGCTTAACACTCAATCAGCAGACATTATCACACAGGGAAGCCCTCTGTAGACCTTGCACTCATTGATTACATATTGTGTTTAATGTCTCGGCAACAATGACTCGTCTGCTAATTATCTTACCACTGCTGTTGGTTATCACGGCAGAATGGAGGGACAAAAGGTTTAAGGAAAGCCTGAGGGCTCCCTGCTATCACTGAGCACTTAGTACCTGCAGCAACTTGTTAGCGTAATCTCATTTGGCCCTGATTAAATCATGCTAATTCAGTCAGTCTCTGACCCCACCGATCTGCCATGTGATTCTTTATTATCTTCACAATGTGACTGCTGTGTGTGAGGTGTTAGTGGAAAGATCTTGTGAACTCAGTGATGCTCGAGCTGTGTCCCTGTATGGGATTTTTACTCACATCTAGAGGGAAGTTCCAGTGAAGTCATATGTTTCCAAACTTTTCCCTGCAGGTGAGCGCCCGTTTTCCTGCCCCCACTGCAACCGGGCCTTCGCCGACCGCTCCAATCTACGGGCTCATCTGCAAACCCACGCCGAGGTGAAGAAGTACCAGTGTAGCGTGTGCTCTCGCACCTTCAGCCGCATGTCACTGCTGCAGAAACACAGCTCCTCGGGGTGCTGCTCCACTTCGGTGTGAGACGGCCTGAAGGGAGGCAGAGGGGACCCACTCAGAGCTCAGGAGGGCTTGCAGCCATGGAGAAGAGGCTTTCACAAGCCCGGTTGCCCTGTTGAGGACCTATAAGGCCACAAAGAGCATGAAATGGCCTGCTTTATGAGACCTGGATGGAATTAAACCTCATTATGGATCTGACTTTACAAGCCTCTTTTTCACCATTAAAAAAAACAGCTGACAAGCTGATTTTTTTTTCTTTTTAAATATAGTCCAAGGTCTTGAGGCTGGACCAAATCTGAACTGCACTATGCAGACACTCACTTGATATCAGCTCCTATGTTGCTATTGTGCCCATTCCAAACACCAAATATGTAGTGAACTCATTGGGTTAAGAGGTGTTCTTTCCCGTCTCTGTCCCGGTGCCGGTCAGCTCAGGATCATGGCCGAGACACAGCTGCTCAGAGGTAGGGGTGCGTGGGTGGAGTAAATCTCTTAGCGTGTCTCAAAACACACACACACACAGACACACAATTGAGTGCACACACAGCTGTCCTCGGTACTGTGGTGTAGATAGACGAGGTGCTAACAGGTGCTACAGCCCTGACCTTCGCTGGTTGATAGCAGGTGACTTCCACTGCCCTTGGTTTGCTTAAGAAAAAAAGAGGAAGCATGTCATCACAAAAGCATGGCACCAGTTAGTGTTTTCTTCACCAGTTGGGGGATCATTATAAGCCTCTATTTTGGCTACATCCAAACCTTCTCTTTAATCTGATGTGTTTAGGAGATAGGAAAAGCCGTTTTCGTCTGTTATTTTCCAAAGGAGTTTCACTGTGCAGCTCTGCCATGCATTCTAGGTTACCACAGTGTTAATAATGTCAGCCAAAGCCATACAACTCAAATAAGTACGTGCCTTGAAATTATATTATTTTTGAAACCAAAATGTGCCTTGTGTGTTTACCTCATTTAGTAGTCATGGTTTTAAAAAATGATTGCAGTATTAGTAGAAATTAGTTCTATAAAGTTTTGAAATGCAAAAAGGCTGGGACCAAAGAATTTTATAGTTTACAGCACGGAGACGTGCTTGCCTATGATGTAATGAGGACCCTGTAAATGGACAATGCAAAGATGAATTTTTTAAAAACTTTCCTGAACATTTTATGGCAGTGTTTAATAGTGCAATGTGCAAGTGATGCGTTATGTCATATTTTTGTGCTATGCTTGTGTGTTCAATTCCTATTCCCTGTATTTCGCAGCTGATATCCTTTCATTCAATAAAGTAATTTATGTTTATTAAAACCTGCAAACCGGCTGTTTTATCTCCGCTTCGATGCGACGAAATGAGCGCGGCTGAGAAGTGTCGGTTCATGAAAGTCTGTTTGATCATTAACTGGGAAATTTCTGCTCAGCGCCTTGTAATTAGTGAGCGAAATGACCGGGATGTTGAAACTGAACTGCAGATGTGCAGGTGAACACACTGTGCTGATGATGGATGGAAACAACTGAATGCACCTGCTTCCAGTTTGCACCTGCCATTTACTTCTCGCTCGTCACTGTGCAAACATTACTGGATATGTGAGTGTACAGTTAAAAGAACTCGAGCAAAAAAAAGTCAACTTCTCTTTCCCCCTCCTGTCCAGCCCAAGATTGAAGATTTAATTCACATGTGCTCACCTACCTTTTTTAAAATGCTCTTATAGGGGATTTCTTATTACTACTTGATTGCAGTGTAAATATGTTGTTCCCTCTCTGGGGAGAGAATTATATTCTCCTCTTCCTCTGCCTAGACAGTGAGTCAGAAACTGTTTAGCTTTAGTTCCCATGTCTCTCGTGCTCACAGTAAGTAAGTCAGGCTACTAGTCAAGCCAGCAGTCAGTCAGTTAGTTGGAGTTGGTGTGCGTGGGCTGAGCCAGCTGGGCCAACGGAGTGAGGTAAGGTGTTCCACGGCAAAGTTCCCTATTTCCTTTTGAGTCAGCTACCAGCCAGGATGCCTTCTGCAGCATGTAACGGTGACTCACCTCACACGATCCTCAAATGAGATTGCGTATGCAAATTCTTAAACATCTGTGGACAAACACCAACAACCTCCAACATGGAAATAATTTGAGGATTTCATTCGAGGATGTGGCTGATTGTGACTCCTTTTGCCCCCATGTTCTCGTGTGTCTTAGTTATTGTGCTCTTGGATAAAAGCACTATAAAAGATCAGCTGTTGGATGTTAGCTCAAACTATTTCGATGTCAGCTGGTATGTCCCGAGGTCAGGGTGTTAGCTCTGGCAGCAGACACAGTTGAAACGAGTCCTCAAATTAAACATTATCCTCAGTTTTGCCCTTGATTGGCTTTTCCTGATCATTTTAATCTCTGTCATATTTCTCATCATCTAAGATTTATAGGATACTGCAACAATATATGATATGTGTGTGTTCAGAAAAAGCAAAGGCCTTTCTAGTTTTATTTATTTATTTATTTTTGTGCTAAATGTTTTGAACCTTGGACAAATCTGTCTTTCCTCTATCCTTTATAACTAGGTCAGAGTTTTCCCAGATAGTGCGAAGCCTTATACATTTCCTGTAAAAACACAGGCACATTTCAATTCATTGCTGCATCACAAGTTTTTGTACTTCTTTCTGCCTTTTTATAGAGAATTAAAAACACAACATGCTCCCCTTCCCTTGTTCCTCGGGGGAGAGTGGAGGCCTGGATCTGAAATCTGAGAACGTTTTCCTGCTGTGTGCTTTACAGTGCCAGAGCACTCACTGTAATTTACCAAAAGTGGCTGCTATTTATGCCATAAAGCATGTGTTTAACATTCCTGAACCCCACTGTGTTTGTGTATTCCTCGCTCACTCGCTTGCGCTCTCCCACTCACTCTCTGCCTGCCTCTACTGCTGTATGTCTATTTATGTGTGTGTGTGTGTGTGCGAGTAGTAAGTGGAAATGGTCCCTACAGAGCAGCAGCCCTTTCCCTCTTCACAGGAGGATCATCTCTCCCCCTCTGAGACAAGGCGGACAGGAAGTGGGAGTTTACATTGGCCTACTTTACCCAAAAAAGCAGCCCTGGGTCGAAAAGCTAAAGTGCTCATGTGGTGTTTTTTTTTTTCTTTTTCTTTTTTGGCTGCTGCAGTTTGCCAGTGCCAGCGCTGTGTCCCATCCCCCCCATCAGCTGTCCCACCCATGGTTGCTCTCGCAGCCAACTTTTTGGGGTGGAGTTGGGTGGCCAGGAACTAAAGAGTGGCCTTCAGTGCAGCAGCAGTTAGGGCTCATGGTCTGGGAGACAGGAAGGAGCTGTCAGCATCTCATAAACAGGACTCATCCTGCACTCATGACACACAAGACCTGGAGTGAAGTCTCCCAGGAAGAGGCCTTCAGACACCCACTTTAGCTTCAGACTGTTGCTTAGTCTGATGCTTACTGCCCCTCTGGATAACCCATAACACTGACACCGAATATACATAGCTAGCATGTCACACTTGAGATGTTACAGTCACTTGACAGTAGGATGAGTATCACCAGTGGACAAGTCCAAATAAAGTGTTGTAAAGCTGTGATTTAGGCAGCCATCGACTGATTTGAGATTCACACGGGAAAAGGAAATCATATGAAAACATAAGTGTTTCCAGTCCGTCTGTTTAGGGGTTGGTGGTGTATTATGGTAGAAAATACAGTAGAGTATTCTTTCATTGTTACACTCGAGTTTAATATAAAATGTCAGTATTGGTCACCGTTGGCCTGGCCACTCCACTTTGAGACCGCAGGTGTGAAAGATAACCTCATTACTGGTGTGTCTGTGGGAATGGGAACAAAGTGACACTCGTTCTTCTACTCTTAAGAATAAAACAACTGCTCAGTTTTGCTAGGTATACTCCCCCAAAACCTCTCACCTCACGTGTTACTCTCTCGGCTTCCTCCAGCAAAATTAGCACCTCTCGGTGTCTATCACCTTACTTAAAGAGCACTTTATTGCTCTTGAATCTTAACGTTGCCTAACATTTGGTGGGAGGTTTTTTTTCCTCTCTCCCTCAGAGGTCTCCTTGGAGTTCTGTTGTCTCACTCTTAATACAATCAGAGTTTGGACTAGTGATGCAAATGTCAGAATGCAAAGCTAATTCCTCTCCGCTGAGCTGCAAACAGGCCAGAGACTGGTCTGGTAAATAAGAAGGCCAACAGCGGTAACACCACAAATATGCTTAATGATGGATTTGATCAGGCTGTGGAGTTGCCCCAAGGCTGGATTGGAGAAGTGGTTGGGTGGGTTGGAGGATGGGGGTAGGGGGTGCATATTAAAGAGTAATGAATCACACACTCAGTCACAGGGTCGCCGGCTATGAATGTGCTCTCTGTTGGTTTTCCTGGAGCCTGGAGTTTACTAACTGATGACGCAGGCTGGACTTGATCAGAGACATGTGTTGCTGCAGATTCGATGCCAGTGAGAAGCATAGCGAGAAAGAGGGGAGAAGGGGGAGAGGTAGAAGGATGGACGGCGCCTGAGCTCTTTGCCTTGCCTCCATGTGTCCTTCTGGGTACTGGCTTGCACTGTGGCTGATGGGGTCGGAGGGGAGATGGAGGGAGAAAATAGACCTCAGTTATACATTGGAACAGGAAGCCAGAGATTCTCTGAGAGTATCCTGACCTAGCTTTTAGTTAAAAAAAAATCATTACTCCCAAATTCCTGTGTGACATCTCAGCAAGCCACGGAGAAGCATGCCTACTTGACACAAGAGCAGCCAAAGCAGAGCTTCCTCTACCCTAAAATGAAAAATAAAACCAGGTCTCGCAATTAAACAAGGACAAGTCTACAGCGTAGGCTGTATAGAAAAGATAGATGCCTGTGACGTCACCCATTGGTTTGTGGACAACCACTTCGAAGCTGGGACTTCAGTTTTTTGAAGAGAGCAATGAGTGCTAAATTATTACTTCTTGAATTGTCTGTTAGTACAAATAACCACAAGGCAAGCTATAGTAGTTCCATCAAGAAACAAAGTCAGTATTTCCAGTAAAATGACTCGAACCAGCTGCAGGGAAGCTTAGCAAAGAGCTAGCAGGGCTGACACCTGTCCTGGCATCCACCTGTTATTCAAAGCAACCACACCCCTACCAATAAATAGGCTGAGGTTGCTACTGGGCCAACAGCCAGCGCGAGTCTCTGAGAGACTGCTACTATCATAGTGGTGCTTCAACCTTAAAGTTAACATTAGCATGCTATCTTGTCCACATGTAGGAAAGCTAACTTTGCTTGCTAGCATAGAACTCCAAGTACGCTACATAGTTTTTTTTCCTTGTTTTGTAATTTTGGCATAGTGATCAATAAGGTGAGGATTGTCCAGACTTATAAGCATTTTCCAGAGGGAACGTGAATATATCACATTTCATTCTTAGCAGAAGTGCAGATACTGCCCATTGTGGCTCTTTTCTAAAACTGTAGAAATTATCATTAACTGTTAGGGTCATTCTTAATAACCCTCTCCACCTGCCAGAGGAGGAAATATCACCTGTTTGCTACAGGAGAATGCACCTGAGCATACTTTCCCAGAAAAAGTTCAAGACGACGTTGAGCTGTTGCCCGAGGCCTTAAAAGAGTATTATGAAAGAGGTAATGTAGTTTTGTGCCCACATGTTGGAACATGTCACTGTGTAACCGTGTGTAAACAGAATCTGGCGGTGTGCTGGGAAACAGATTGCCTCCCCGCTTGCTTCTAACTTTTCAAGATTTTGATTTGTTGAGCTTAGAAAGCTCTGTGTGAAAGTGAGATATGCTTACCCGGGCATGCCAGCTCTTGCCGTGTCTAAATGTGTTGTACACTTGAATGTCACTATCCGGAGGAAAGCTGCTAATTGAGTCGTGATAGTGTCTGTGGCATGTCATTTCCCATGAACAGCCTCATAAACCACACCAGCATGAGAAACAGACCTGTTTGGAGCAGGAATGGGAGTTTGGTTTGTCACTGCTGAAGTGGAAGATGTCCAAGGTTTCCCATTTGTTCAAGACGGAGATCAAAGAAAGTCAAAGCCAGAGGCATTGCACCCTGGGAACAGATGCGTGGCATCCAAACACTTCCCTGAGACAGTAAACAGCCACGATGTTGCTCGTGTGCGCGCACACTCACGCAGAGATTACATGCAACAGCTGTCATATTGTCATCGATCATTCCTCAATTCCACCTCTCAGGCATCTTCAGATAAACACACGCAGACATAGGTGAGCATAGGCAGACACACACACACACTGAGAACTTGTCTGCTGCGTGGGAGGCCTATGCAGCAGCTGTTTATGATGGAAAACACCCGACACTCCCACCG